AAAGAAAATATATATATATATATATATATATATATATATATATATATATATATATATATATATATATATATATATATATATATATATATATGTTGTGTGGTCAAACGTGACTGCTTTTAGTCGAAAATCGTATTGAAGCTCTAGCAAAATATGTAAAGAAAATGTCAATTGTGTAAACTCACTATAACTACTTCTTGTCAGAAGGAAGACATTAGCCGTTTTCACATTAGAAGACGGACAAGTCGTCTAGACGAACAAATCGTCTCAAAATCGTCTTTTAGTCGGACAAATCATCAGATGTGAAAACGTGTCGGACAAAATTTTAGACGAACAAGTCGTCTGAATTTGTTCGACTACTTGTCCGACTGTGAAGACGATTTTTGAGACTATTTTTTCGTCTAGACGACTTGTCCGTCTCTAATGTGAATAGGCGAAGTCTTAAAACCAACTGATGCGGGAATCTTCACAGATCATAGCCTAATCATGTTTGATCTAATCACGGCATGCAATCCATTACCAAAAGTAAAAAGAACCGTATTTAATTATCGTCGAGCTGACTTTGATGGTCTACGAGCACATCTTCAATCACTTAACCTCAAGGAGAAAATATCTGATCATGGCGATATTAATAAAGATTGGTCGGAATGGAAAGATTCGTTTCTTGCGGCGGTGAAGCAGTTTGTTCCAACTGCAAATTTAAAAGGTCGAAAGTCTCTTCCTTGGATGAATAGTAAAATTCTTCATTTAATTAAGAAGAAAAACTCGTTGAGAATGAAAATCAAAAGATCTAGTTCACCAAGTGACTACCTAAGAGATCAATTTAAAAGCCTCCGCTCCACCATCAAGCGAATGTTGCGTGACAGTCGACTTGAATACATGAACAAAATCTGCGCCAATCGTGATCACAACCCAAAACGCTTTTGGTCCTTTTTTAAGACGAGGTCAAAAGTTTCCAACATTCCAGGAAAAGTTTCCACGAAAGTCAATGACAGTGAAAGAAAGCACGCGAACAGTAACACCGATATAGCGAACATGTTCAATGAATATTTTGTTTCCATCTTCTCCTCTGACTCGGACGTCGCCCTTGAACATGGTGATCGTCTGCATAACGTAGAGTTTGAGAATATCACATTATCGGAGGAAGAAGTACTAGCTGTGATAATGAATTTAGACCATAATAAAGCACATGGCCCAGATAATATTCCAGCCCGCCCACTGAAAGAGACAGCCGCGCAGATTGCACCATCTCTCTGTTCTCTTTTCAACAAGTCTTTACGTATTGGCGTTGTGCCTGACGATTGGAAACTCGCTAACGTGGTCCCTGTTTACAAACACGGAGAAAAAGCGGAGGTAGAAAATTACCGACCAATTTCACTACTGTCCCTTATATCAAAAACCCTCGAACGTTGTGTATTTAACAACATCAAACATCATGCTTATGGTCAGATAAACCCTTGCCAAAACGGTTTTGTGCCGAAAAAATCCTGCATCACCCAACTCATCGAAGTCCTTGATCACATTGGCCGTGACTTAGATCGTGGTAAACAAATTGACGTAATTTATTTAGACATGTCAAAGGCCTTCGATAAAGTGAGCCACGCAAAGCTGTTACATCGCCTTCGTGAATTCGGGTTTGGAGGAAGCATTCTCAAATGGTTCGGTTCATATCTGACCAACCGATATCAACAAACGACCGTTCTTGGAGCAACGTCGAGGCCGCTTCCAGTAACATCAGGAGTGCCGCAGGGGTCCATCCTCGGTCCATTATTGTTCCTTCTATATGAGAATCATCTCTCCAATTCCGTGACCAATTCAAGGATTGCTATATTCGCGGACGATACCAAGATCTTCAAGACCATCAATTCGATCTCTGATGCGTCTGCTCTACAGAATGATCTGTCAAACTTCCAAGAAAGCTCAAGCACTATTAACCTCGAATTAAATAACACCAAATGCAAAGTCTTAAGAGTCACCCGAAAGCACAATAAAATTACTTATCCATACAAACTTAACGATACCATCCTAGAATGCACGGACTGTGAACGAGATCTTGGAGTTTTAACATCTTCTACTCTGACTTGGTCTAAACAAGTTGACCACCTGTGCAACAAAGCCACCAGAATGCTAGGATATGTCCGAAGATCAACCTTAAACATCAAAGATATCACGGTTCGCCGCAGACTATATTTATGTCTTGTTCGTTCCCAGCTATGCTATGGATCTCAAATTTGGGCACCACAATCAGTAACCTTAATTAAACGCGTGGAAAGACTTCAAAGACGCGCAACAAAGTACATCCTGAATCTGCCCTTCCGTTGTGACACAACCTACAACCAGAGACTTGCACTTTTAGATCTCCTTCCATTGTGCTACTGGCATGAATTTCTAGATATGGTAACCTTCTACAAATTAACGCATGGCATCATGACCATTGACAGTAATTTAATACAGTCGTCACCCAATAACAACAGAAGACAAACCAGGTCGTCTAATCCCAATCATCTGTCAATCACAACGGCACAATGCAAGACCACTACCTACCAAAGGTCATTTCTCAACCGAACAAAGAGACTATGGAACGCATTACCAAAACGTTTGACAAGCAATAACATTAGTTTGGGACAATTCAAAAACGGACTTTCAAAATATTACAAGTTAGCGTTGGAAGACGTTTTTAACGTTGATGATCCAAGGACATGGAAATCTATATGTTTGTCTTGTAACAAGTCTCGTAATCTGTCCTGTCAAATATCGTGTTGTTATTAGATTTATGTTCGTTGTATATTGTTGTATAGTATTAAAATAGTTAATGGGGCCGCTGTAATTGGTGAAAACTGTTGCGTGCACCCTGCCAATGAAACACATATTATTATATGTTGTTGTAAATCAGTGGTGTTATATGTTGCATGTTACTTGGCAAAGTTAAATAAATAAATAAATAAATAAATATATATATATATCGAGAACACGAGTCAAGAAGAGCTGTTGGACGTCAGTTCCGTCCCTTTCTAAAGTTTTAACCTCATTGTTACTATGACAATCTAATGTGTATAATCTTTTATGATTATCGAGGGGGGTCCGTGTTCACCTGAAACGTTTTCCCTTGTTCCCAAAAAAGATTTCACTATGTTCCCTTGTTTCCCACATGTTCCCTTGATCCCCATGATTGTTTCGGCTTGTTCCCATTGCAAAATATGTCTTGTTCCCTAAAACCTCTGGGAGATCCTCATTATATAAGTTATATATGTCACAACTCACCGAATGTTTTCATATATAAATCTTACAAACTCAGAAAACAGCTATATTTCAAAGTCAAAGTAAAAATACTTCATTTACCGAGGGTAAAAACACCATTACTGATTACTCTTTAATATATTTTCTCATATTACTAAGAACCTTGGGTATACAATTCACCTTAAAATTAAAATTGTTTTCACATGCAAAATTACAGTATGTTAACAACACTAAAATACTATACATACATGAAATCTTTAAACAAGACAAACCAATAACGCAGTATACAATACTTATTATATGTTTAACATATTTAACAAATCATTTAGCACTGACGTGCTACCTTGGTCGTTTCGCATCTGAATCGTCAGGTATAACATAAAGTATATATGAACCCAATACAATCCAGTATGCTTTAAAAGAAGAGACCATGACTTCAATCTTACATACCACACCTACAGAAATGCAGGAAGGTATCCATGCAAGACTTCTTGTCATGACATGTGTAGTCACACCTGTGATCTTGATATGTAGCAGCATAGTTATCATCTCGAATAACTTTAGACACACCTAAAGAAAATGAGAAATCGACATTAACCAACATTTTGAAAAAATAAACTCGGAGTACGTAGATAGGGATCCCAACGGCTCGTTCAAAGCAGGCCAACATGTTGGTCCAAACATCATCCTACATTGTTCGATACAACATTGTTGGACCCGTTTGAATATTATATTAATTTTGATAATTTTGAATGATGTTGAATCAGGGTTGGTCTTATTTAAAATTTTTGACCAACAATAATGGACGTTGTTAGACTGGTTTTAAGGAATAAGTTATTTCGCTGGCCTCAGAGTGATAATATGCAACAAAGCAACGGTTTTACTAACACTAACCCTATTTCAAACACTAACCCTACTCCAAGTTTGTTTCTAAACCAATCTTGAAGAAAAAAGTTTTGACGAAATGTCATTCTGAGGTCAGCGAACTAACCTTTTCCTGGTTTGAATGGGTCTTGAGATCGAGAGTGCAATGTCCGTAATATCGAAATTTAATGCAAATATTTATAGAGCTAATGGACGTCGGCCAAGGGCCATTCGTTCAAATTTTGGTTCAACTTGGATAAAAATTGGATGTGAAAGACAAAAATGCTCGTTTTGCTGTTGAAGTACTGTATGCAGCTTAATTTTCCATTTACGATCACATTCACAAAAATCAGTACAGTACGGTACGGTACGGTACGGTACGGTACAGTACAGTACAGTACAGTACAGTACAGTACAGTACAGTAGGTACTGCATTTTTTAATGTTTGCAAATTCGGATATTATAAACATTGCTCTCCCAAGGCCAAGGCGGGGGGAGCGGATGCATACCTGTTATTCACAGGCTGGCTATTGAGGAAAATTTTCGAATAAGACAAATTCAGGTGAGTGATTGATTGATTAATTAAGGATTAATTAAAGGAACCATAAAGTAATAATTAAAAATATTTTTTCCTGGTCTGTATAAAAGATTAGTATAACTTACCAAAGGGACAATCACTGTCGGTTTTAGTAACTCCAAAAGTATGGACGGATTTTCTGATATTAATTCACCTTCTCGTGAGATTATGATTAGACCTGGTAGTAGCACAACTGATACAGTGTTCACCAGAAATAAAACATGAACAACGGAGACCTACAATGAAACAAATTAAAACTGAACATCAAATTACATTTTTTGTGCGTGTTAATGTTATGTACTCAGGCGAATATGATGTTTGTGGTGTTACTCTGAGTGTGCATCCACTGTATTCCACACCAGGCAAGTTCAGTGTGGATGAGTTTAACTATAGTGCGAGGCATGCGAGGCACGATCTGCGAGGCATGATGCGAGGCAGCGAGGCATGATGCGAGGCAGCGAGGCATCGTGCGAGGCATGGTGAAAATCATAACTAACGCGTTTAAAGTGCCTACGAGGCCCAAAATTTAATGAAAATGAAAAAATGCACGGACGGATGTACGAGTTACGAGGCATTGTGCCGAAACAACTTCATTTCGGACAGAAAAGAACGTGTGTATTATCCAGTTGCGCAGTATGCCGGTTCTTTACGGACCTTCGGTCCTTGTCTGTACGTCTCCCGAACGCAAAGTTTTTTTTACATGTAGCACATTTTGCATCTCGGTTTGAATGGCGTACGTTTACAAGGTAGCGTTGTTCATCTTTGGACGCGGGCAGTTGTGCTAGTGGAACTTTGTCAGGGAATGCCTGTACAATTTTTGACCATTCATTGGTTGAAAAATGGCAAAATGCTTCTTATAAATTAATGCTTCTGTTTTGTCGAAGTCAAAAATCTTATGTCTCTTATGTAAGATCCAAGTCCGATGATGGCACATGTCAGTACATAATACAGGTGAGGAGCAAGTGACGGAGTCCTTAGAAATTTCTAAATCCTGTATGTATCCCATTGTATCAAGCAGTTTGAAGTTAAATTGAGATACATGGCTTTTAAGGTCGACAATATTCATTGTGACGTCCTTGACGTATTTCTCGAAAACTTTCAACCTTGTTTTGCTTACAGAATTATTTCTGCTTTTTACAGAATATACAATAGAATATACTGTAGAATTCAGAAAGTACCGGTTCGGCCTGAAGATAAGTTAACTAAAGTTCCACAGCCTAAGGCTGTAATGTATTTTTTTCATTCTCATTAAATTTTGGGTTTTGTAGGCACTTTAAACGTATTAGTTATGATTTTCACCATGCCTCGCACGACGCCTCGCTGCCACCAACTCGAACCAACTTGATAGAGCATTGGCTACTATCCCAAAGGTCGCATGACGCAGATCAAACTTTTCAGCTTGCCCGGTGTGGATGCACACTCAGAGTAACACCACAAACATCAAATTATACATGTCAAAATATTATATAACTGTATACTAAAATTTTTAACTGAGATTTCCAGATTCCGACTTTAAAAAATCTGTAGAGCCAAATTAAAAAAAAAAAAAACAAACATTGTTTTTACCAAACATGGTAACTACTTAACTACAGTATTTTTTTACTTGCAGAATTGTTCCCTGGTCTGATAGTCTATTGTACTACAAGAAAACATTTTATGAAATAAAAAATGGTAACCAGGTGGTGCAGTAATATGTAGCGCAGTCATCAAAGCAAGCGCCTTTTACAATACCTCTGGCTCTGAGTTCAATAGTGAGTTTGATTCTCGCTACAGACTCATGTCAACACTCTGTCGAAAGTTGTGAGTTTTCAGGAAGGAGCCTTGAAATGCCAATTTCCTGCATTCTGAGCACTAATAACATGTACAGGGCTGCAAATAAATATTTGACTTGACAGGACATTTGTCCGATCACTTTTAATTTTGGTCGGACATAACTTGAATTTGGTCAGACAAAAACCAACACCACTAAATTTGGTCAGGCATATATACGTCACAAGATATATTACATATATATATAAGTCACAAGACAAGTATGTATTGCCATTCCGGCGCAACGTTAAGTAAAATGCGAGAATGCCTCGTAAATTTTATTGCAAAATGCAAATTGGGGAATTTGCAATCGGATTTTGTCACGGCAAAAATGTGTAATGTGACAATTTGTTTTGTGATCTGACTAATGTCCGATCAAAATTACTTTTGCTCGGACATCTGCAAATTTAGTCGGACATTGTCCGATGTCCGACAGTAATTTGCAGCCCTGAACATGTACGTTCATTCGTTAAATTTGTTCTCACAGTACTTGTATTTCGGGCAAAAATTAAGAAAGTGCTATGTTATATGGTGCCCGCCATATT